CCTTATGCTTGATTTATACTGAGCCATGCATTTATACTTCATCTGTGTCTCAGTCATTCTGCAACTACACCGCCAAACGCTAGTTGGCGGTACCGCTGCAGTGTCCACTGTGTTGACTTTTGCCGGCCGAGCAGGCTAACTTCCGGTTTAGCCCTCCGCAAACGTGAATGGGAGTAAAAATGTATACGTGCGGCTGTTATAGACTTTTCAAATGTTATCAACAGAATGGATCACATTCTGACAGTGAAACGAGTCATTTCGCTCAGGTTGTGACGGTCAAATATATCGATCCACCGTGTTACAGCCGCTGGTTTGGCAGCTGGTAAAATATACTTCAAAGCATGGGACACTTCCTGTCGGCGACGCAGAAGTATAAATCACACTTTAGTCTAATAAATAAACAAAACAAACTCGCAAAATGTCAAGAAAGGAAATAATTTTCCACCTATTTTCCTTATCAAACAGAAAAATACAACCGTAGACCTTCATTGTAAAACACACTTTCAAACACGACAGAAATAAAATGAAACTCAATAAAACTTCTTTCCACTGTTCCAACAATCATCAACTCTGGTTTGTAGTTAGATGTGAAAATATTCTGGCTCTGCACTCTGTTGTTGTTTTTGAAAGTGAGGATATCTTCTTAAAAACCAACAACACTTTGAAAACGTTCTCCAGTATTTGTGGGCTTTTGTTTTGGTCATCAATTAATTTACTAATCATTTAAACATGAAGGTCCAAATGGTGTGATGTTTTAAGAGCACTTTTGAAATTGTTTAATGCATAAAATCAAATCAAATCATTTAGGAAGTTGTAACCCAAGTGTTTCATTCACTGCTACCAATAATGGATTGGAAGTTGCATTAATCACATATCACATTATGACATACATGCAACAAATAAAGCTCCAACTCCATGTATTCTATGCTGCTGTAGTTTAACTGCGTGTCAAACTTTTTTTTATTGACTTCCTCATCATTAGTCTAATTTAACGGCTGAGGAATGTTTGTAGTTTCTGAAGTCTTTGGCTCCTGTGGCTCTTTTGATGGAAAACAGAGTTTAGGTATTCAGGGAAAGTTAGCTGGACGCAGATGATTTCACCAACTATTGTTCCTCAGTCAAGTTCCTCAACAAACTGCTCTCTCTCATGTCCCTCCTACGCAGAAATGCAGAGCATCTAATTACCACCCACAGTCCGTCACAACTGATGGAGCAGAGTGTCCCGTCAAAACTGCCTAGTCTGCAGCGTCGACCTTCTGCCAGGCCTGGCAATGAAACAAACACGGTCTGTGTGTGTGTGTGTGTGTGTGTGTGTGCGCTTTTGTTTTAAAAAGACAAAATTAGAAGGTGTATTCAGGGAGCAAATTAGAGAAAATTGCACTTGAAGAGAAAAGAAGATCTGAGGGAGGAACTGATCACTGATTATCCAGGAGAGAGGAAAAAACATCTTGGCTCACAGCAGCTGGTGATTTAAAGCATATAAACACACACACTAGCTATGATGTCATTTCTTACAGAAACTCAAAGGTATTTAAGTAAACCCTCTTATTCTCTGTCTTCTCCAGCACCACGTGAGAAGATGGATTTCAGTTTTATATCTGTCCATCCGGAACGTAGGACCCTCTGAAACACATACTATAAACTGACTTAAAGAGGTGGTATTATGCTTTTTGCCTTTCCCCTCTCCTTTATTGAGTTATATATCTTTTTTGTGCATGAAACAGGTTTGCAAAGTGAAAAAGCTCAAAGTCCAGCCCAAAGGTAGTTCCCATCTCCCACAGAAAACATTGCTCTGAACTGCCTGAAAACAGCTCGTTTGTAGTCCAGCTTTTTCTTCTGCTTTGCTGTGACGTCACAGCGAAATACACGTCATAACGCTTGCCAAGTGGCTAGTCAGGCACGGCCTCAAAAACAGCAGTTTTGAGGCCGTGCACACTATGTTGCTAAGAAGTTAAGGGAACATATACAACTGAACCAAAGCAGTGTTTACCGGCTTCTCAGGACCCGCCCTACTCTGCTTCTGATTGGCTAGTATTGGCATGTGCAACTCCCAACAAAGATCTTGTAGAGGCAAGATGCATCACTCCATAGCTAAAACGAAGCATTCAACAGACAGGGCGAAAAGAGGAGCTGTAGCAATGTGCAGTACGACAAAAATCTGTTCTGGTACAACCACTAAATAAGATTATGAACCTGAGTGAGCATAATATGTCATCTTTAAAGAAACTTAGTAGTCTGGCAACATTGAGGCTACAAAGAACCAATAATGTAACACTCTATATAGGAGCCAGTGCATGTACGACAATAATCTAATCGACAAGGGCTCAGGGCTGCCAAATCACAAAGCGCTTGAGGGCTCTGTATCTAAAATCAGGCAGGCAATAGTAAGTTTACATGCACACAGCAGCAAGTGCTGTGAGTAATCTATTGTATGTGTAACATGAGGACATTATTATAAGGACTCATCAGGCTCATATATTCTGAAAGTCAGCAGCCATCCATGGACACAGAAATGCGTGTGTCTAGGTCATCCTCATCTGACTGCCTGTTGCGGACGAGCAGCCTGATTTTGAGCCTGTAGTTCTAAACATTTAACAGCCTTATAAGACAACCTGACTAGTCCAGACTAGTCCTGTTTGTTATTATGAACTCTAACAGAAATACTTCTTAGCAGTGGAAAAATGTTCTCTGATGTTTGAAGCTCATAATGAATGAATATGAATGAAGACGTAACAGCATACAGCTTTACTGATTCTCCCATAATTGTATATTATCCCACAGTATGACATCATAACATGGTCATCTACAATGAAGAATATAAACTATGTTGTATTTCTTAAACAGATAGAAATCACTGTAAATGCTGTCTAGTTGGATGACATATTTACTAAGTATGAAAACACACAAAAAGGGAAAATCCATCTATATATTTAACAGAGGGACTCGCAGGCATGGAGTTCGCTGTGACTTTTGTCTTCTGGTTGTAAATATGTGTGGTTAACCACTGGAATCTCAGCTCGGGCTGGGTTAAAGTGCTGGGTCCAAATAAAATGTCATTTAATCAGCACAGTGACACTCTGCTGCACCGAAGAGCGAGAATACAAATTAAGAAATACATGAGATAATGACACTAGTTAACTCTGCTGCATATTTATTTTGGCACCAACTAAATAGATAGATGTTGTCATGTGACCTTGATGACTTCCTGTTCTCTCTGCTAGACAGATTTTCTCAGGGCTTTTTGAGTTTATGTGGTTTCACTTATTAAACTGGTTTTGAAAGAAGCAGACTGCCACGAACTGTATGAGATTTCCCAATCCAATGTTTAACCAAAATTAGAGATTGAGCAGGGGTACAAAAGTACACTTAGTGGTGCAAACTGCACAACAAATGCGGTATGTTTTGTACTGTACATCTGAAGCTTTAAAGCCTGTTCCCACCACTGGACTGTAAACCAAACCCTCTCAGCTCCAGAGTTTTGAACTTATTACTTCCAAATCCAAAAACATCCTTCTAAAATCAGGAAATGTACCATTAATGTTTCTTAAAAGAAATTTGTTGACGATAAAAGCTGTAAAGTTATATAATAGGTATATAATGCTTCACATTTCAAACACATCCAGCTCACAGGACCCGTTTTCATGGTTCAAAAGCCTGCCACTCATCGAAGTTGCCCTCTGGAGTTTTCTTGAATACAAACAAATGTTATATTTACACTTGTTTACGTTCTTGCCAAATGCATTACGTGTATCCTTGAGTCCTGATAAACATGCTGAATTTATTTCCGTCCACAGTTTGAATCCTTCTTTGTTTCATCGAATATAAGGCTGTATTATACACAGCACTGTAACTTTTACTGTCCTGTTTTATCCTGTTTCTATTTTCCGTTTAACTCTTTTAAAAATGGTTTTAAAAATTGTATTTCAATATCTATTTTTGTTGCTTTTATGCTTTATGTAAAACACTTTGAATTAACTTGTTGTTGAAATGTGCTATAGCCTACAAATAAACTTGCCTTGCCGTGCCTTTACATCCATGTTTACTAGCATGCACGCTTGAACATTAACATGTTACTTGGCACTTTGCCACCTATGGATCATTGAAATAGTGTAAAACCATTGCCAGGAATGTGTATCACGGCACTTGCATGCACGTGCACGAGGACCAACAAAAGTACAATCAACCCTTACCTGCATTGATCTTTCAATCATCCCTACCTCGGGTCTATAGCAATCCAGCACTTCCATATTGCAGATTAAGCCATAAATCAACATCATATTGCTTGCTTGTAAACTTTTCTTAAAAAATTATTAATGCACAAAAATTATATTTTTACAGTCATTTAAAGATGTCAGCAAATATTCTCCCTGTTTCCAAACGTTAATATGGTATAGAGTACTATTATTCTCTTCTTTGTGAAGTAAATCTTTGGGATAAGGGCACATTTTTTCAACATTTATAACTTGCACCTCCAGAGATTTGGCAAAATACAGTTCAAGTCTGAATGCATGGTCCCCTACAAATGAAAAATAAAAACATACTGAGCATGACAGAAACAGCTATGTCCACTTATGGTCTAATTTCTAGCCTGTTCTGAAGCTTTGGTTCACGTCAAACATTCTAACTTTCCAATATACTGAGTAGTTTTAGGACTTGCCTTTCTCCTGCTCCATCCACATAAAAACGAAGAGGTGGATTTTAGACCATGCAGGGTATGTAAATGTAGGTGTATGAGACCACACACACACACACAGGTTGTTGACAACTGTGTCTGTCCTCCTGTCTGATGCTGATTGAAGTGGATCAGTTGAGACTTTTCTTCCAGAGAGGATCAGACCTCAGCAAACTCACATGGATTTAAAACCTCTCTCTCTCTTTTCTGTGTGTCACAACGTCTCTCGCCCCCCCCTCCTGCTCTCTATAATCGCTGTGTTGTGGTGGCAACGCTTTCTCCTCCCTCTCTTCTCCTCTCTGGGCTGTATATAAGTGTGGATGGCTGGCTTGTGTTTCAGACTGACAGAGAGAATGTATGAGAGCCTTTCGGACGTACGGCACAGAGGGCCACCATGACCCCTGCCGTGACCCTAAAAGAAGAGACCTCCCCCCGCCAACCCTGGACTGCTAATTAATGGTGGGTGTGCAGCATCTACAGGTGAGCTTTTAAACTCAGGTACAAGTTTTCCCTAGCTAACTGTTGTTTCAGCATGTTTCTCATTTTTATCAGGCTCAAAATCAAGTTAGCAGCTTTTCTTTTGCTGCACAAAGAGGAAAATAAAGTGTATTTTTAAACCCTGAGGGAGGTGGCAACCCTGGGTGTTACAGCATGGCTTTGAGCGTCTGTTTTGGTGATGCAGGAAGGGAGAGGAAGGCAGGAGTGCCATGTCATGCTAGGAATGTTGGCTGACCCTCAACAATACCCTCGCATTGGAGAAAGTTTCTGAGCGGTGTTAACGTTCTGCTCAAAAGCTGCACATCAGTTGTAATGGAGGCATTAAAAGGTCCCATTTAGAGGAGTTTCAGTTATTTTGCAGATGCTCTGACTCATAATGACTTTCAGTAAATTGTCAGAAAAGCCGACAACATGGGAGGTCACGGTTTGTCAGTGAGGGTAGCTAGATTAAAGTTCATAATAGCCAGCTAGAAAAAGTTATTTTTTTGTTTATGGGAGCATGCTGTTTTTCAGCCTGTCCTCCACAGAGAGACATAGGGTTAAAGTGTCTGGGGTTAAAGATCAAAAGCTGAAGCTGGGAGCCTTGATTAGGTGACGGGATTTCAGGATTGTGCACTAAACTGCAGTTAATCTGAAGGATGCATTGCCATCTAGCTAAACAACCAGAAGATGTTCTTTCAATAAAGAAATATTGTTATAAGTATATACAGTATTTTGGCATCTTATGATAAAAATCTTTAATATGGAGAATCATTTGTCAGGTTTTGTAGTTGATCATCACATCACATGATAAGGAGAAGGCATACTCTGTCATTGTGGTCAGTTCAACTTTATGGATCCCCATAAATCAGTCCCCATGGAGAGCCTGAGTTTAGCTGTATTTGTACAACATTTCAGAAATTATTTTGAGTGAAATTTAAGTAGCACTTATGTTAATATAGAAAACAATGAAATTTCTGTGAATGTGTGGTCTCCAATATTTGTGCTTTATGATCAAGAACAGTGTCAAGCGGGTTTCTTCTCAACACATCATCGCAGCATTATTGTTCGGACACCACAAATGAAACCTTACTAAATCCTTATAGCGACTGTCAATAATGTCAAAAACTATTTACATTGTGTTTTATTAGTCTCTTAATCCATTCAATAACACAATGATTCACACTGTAGCTAGACATCCATCAGAAAAAGCCTGGGTAGCTATGCAGGGCCTTTAATCTATATAGATTCCTCATATTTTATAAGTTAATCACATGTTTTGTAAAATTAGTTAATCGTGTGTTTTGGGAAATCAAAGTAACTACTAACTACACCTGTCAAATAAATGTAGTGAAGTATGAAGATACAATATTTCCCACTGAAATGTAGTGAAGCAGAAAATTGTACTTAAGTACACTACTTGAGTAAATGTACTTAGATTCTTTCCACTACTATGAGCGTATATATGTCAACTGATAAAATATGTTATTGAACAAGTTTGAGGTCATTGAGAAACAATGCCTCCATTATACAAACTGTCCACTAGAGAGCGCTGGCAGATTTTTTGTACACTGTAAAATGTTGCGCTAAGTACATGCTTGCTTTAAAGCAACATCATGTACTGCTGTTTGGTGGAACTTGGCACCCCTACCGTTTCATGTGGTGTAGTGAGTTGTAAATAAGGACAGATGTACACGTGCATGTGTTATGATTACATGTTATGATCAAAGACTAGCAAGTCAACAAACACAGCCAAACATCAAGCAGTCCTCGTCGGTCTCTTCGCCTCTGCCGTTAGCTAACATTAGGCTACGTCCATAGAGGCTGCTGAGCGCGGTTATGTTGCCAGGCATGACATCGGCAGCGCTCTCCACCAGCTGTTATTTTATGGTAGAAAAGTTACATAATGTTGCCTGAAACTTGTGGCAAGCTAGCCAACAAAGCTAGACAGAACTGACACAGGAGGACTTAGAGTAACTTTACTGATGTCCGAGCGTGTTATTTATTAAGTTAGCTAACATCAACTCCAGATTTATAGCTAGCGGCAAAACCTGTCTGTGAAACCTCTGGCTGAGTTTCTTCCATTTAAATCGGAAGTCGGAGGTCAGAGCTGGGAATGACGTCACACCCGAGTTGACGGCATTCCAGTCGGAAAACCTTGCTCAGCCAGATGTGGTTTATAACTAGCCAGGTTAGCTATTGTTACGCTAATGATTTTTATAAAAGCATTGTGCGTTTTTAAAGCATATTAAACACTGTAGCAACACGTCCACAGATGGCAGTTGGACACTTTGTGTACGAAAATTTCTATGAGGCACATGCACACAGTAGTGCTAATAAACTATAGGTTTAACAAACTGTTGATACTCAGGGCAGCCATCTTGGATCACAAAGTCGGGGTAGTGCGGTTCTCCCGACTTTCCAGGGGCGTTCCCTTTGAAATTTCGGACTTTCCATGTCAAATGGAACACACCATTATGCCGTTGTCGTGATAGATTTCCTGCTCGGACTCTAATACTACATAGTGAAATACTAGGCGCTCCAGTGCCTTCAGTGGCAACGACAGAGACCCTATTACAAGTCAGTGTACCATCATAATGATTTTGAAGCTGTTATTTTTAGATAAAATTACTACATAATTTTGCTTTTAAGGTAAAATGTGTTGTCAGCATGGTGCAAACAGTTAGGTGGCAGCATTTCACCTCATTTCACCGCATTTTTTGCACACAAAGGGTTGTCACAACGCTAAATGTGCTTTCATCTTTCATTGTCTCTGCTGACAAAACATCTTTCTCCACCTTCCTTCTTTCCTGATGGACAGTTTGCATTGACGCCACTTCGTTGCATTACTCTTCCATCCTCAACAGTGGCCATACAAACCAACAGGAAGTTGCTATGAATAGGTAGAGCTCTGACACTGAGATGCAAACAAAGGGAAACCTTTAAATAGTAAAGACTCACTGAACTCAATTGGATTGTAAAGACCATCAGAATAAACAAAGGTATCATATAGCTGCCTTTGATAAATGTCACATCCTGGTTGCAAAATTGTTTTTCTGCCCCCCTTTAATTATTTTTATCTCAGTCAGTTCTGTCTTCTACCTTCCTCTGAGGTCATCCATCTGTTTTCTCCATCTGACAAATCCACCCCAAACCCAAACTCACCAATCGTCTTCATCCTGGCAGAGTGATTTCTGGAGCCTCAGCGCTCACCAGGCGCTGATTAGCTGTGGCTCTGTCGAGTGGAAAGATTTCAGCCTTGGTGGTTCCTGTTCTCCAGCTTTTGTTTTCAGGCTCTCGTGTGAGGAACATGAATCACGACCACATTCAGTCACCAGGAATAAATGTTAAAATGTTTCTTTGCTCTGGTTAACATGGTTCAACCAGCTTTGTTTGTGATTCATGGAAAGTCCTGATGCAGAGTCATATTAACTGAGTGCTTGAAGAGTTGATGGAATAGACCAGCCACAGTCCAGTTTGGAGGATTTTCATGATTAATTTTCAGTTGAAGGTCTACTGTGTGTTGAGGCCACTCTGTCTGATAAAACACTTGAGGGAATCAGTTAAACTCTTTAATAGGCTACAGTCATCTTTCTGCACAGTTACATGGTGCTCAGATATGCTGTTTTCACTGTATGAAGATGATAAGCTGCAGAACATCACCCTAACTGACAGTAGTTTATGCTTTTACATTTACATTACAAAATTATATTTCAAATCGGGATGAGGATAATGCCAGTCAGGTCGTTCATCCAACACTTCACACGTCAATGGAAAGATGTCACCACATCTGCCAGCCAAACTATCATGAAATTTGATATGAATACCAATAATTTGGTGCCCAGAGGACGAGTATCATGTTGCACTATTTGATGCCCGCGCCGCACAGACAGTATAGCCAAGGCTCGAAAGCAGTGATGGGTGTTGTTTTTTCTTCTGGCACCACCATCAGGAGAAAATTTCCACAACACAGGAAACTCTACCGTGATGAAATGTCCTGATCTCCTTCCTGCTCCCCAGATGAACAGATGACACAAATTTTACATTTTTAGCTTCACTTCTGTTAAGCCTCCAGGAATAGCTAAATAATTGGGATGTTGATTGTAAGGATTTTCAAAGAGAAAAACATTTGAAGGCATCACTTTAACATCACTCTATGAACTTGCGATTTACACGACATTTTATGGACTAAATTAATCAAATATTAAGATTATTCAGTAACACAAACAATTGGCTTTTACATTATTCATTCAGCCCATCCAGCTTATATTAGAAAAGATTTATATTGGGCTTTATGTAGTGAGGTAAACCACCGCCGTTCTCTTGTGGTTTCTTTAAGCAACCATTTTATTACAGTCTATTTCATGGTCTTTTTTTTTGGTCATGGTCATTGAAAGAATAAGAATAATGAACTTTATATTAAATTTAAATGGTTTCTAGCAATACTACAGGGAATTTTTCATGTTTGACTGATAAAACAAACACATTTCAACACTGCTGATCATTTTCCAAATCACACTTTCAGTTATCAGGTTGATTTCGCTCCTTCCAGGAAACTTTTCCTGTTCACTTCTATGGAGGTCAACTTGAAGAACAGGTATCTATTTATGATTTGTAGATGCAGATGCAGACAGTTGCATGAAATGTTCAATGCTTTCATGGTGGTAAAAGCATTTGCGTAGTCAGAATCAGACTGAGTGAGTAGTAATGTGACTTTGTGACGTCATTTTGGTGGTGGAACATATTTACGTGACAGATGGCGTAAGTTAGGGAATCTGTTATTCTGGCTCCTACCCCTCAGCCCTCCATCAGGGGATCGGCTCATTTCCCAAACATCAAACTGAGGACATGATTCTCCCTCTCCTGGCATCTCTGAATGTGCTCAGAGTGTTCCCATCTTTCCATCCTATTAGAAATGCCTCCATCAAACTGTTGGCTTCAATTACTCCTGAGTTCAAAATGCTTTCTTTGGGCATGAAATTTATTCGTGTTCCAGGAGTAAC